CCCCCTGCCAATTCTTTGCTTTTTAGCTTTCTTCGCTAGATACTCTTTAATCAAAATCAATATTGTTCAAGTCTAAAGTGAAAAGCTATGAAGTTGACATTTTCCTTAGAGGGAAACTGCATGCATACACAGAAACTTAAGAAAACTTGAAGTAGTTTTGGACTTGCTTTCCTCGATTTCGTGCGGTTGTATGACCCTTTTGTGGTACTTTTCTGCCTCAAAATGGACTTGTTGAGTGAGGCTTGATAGTTCTGAAAATAATGATAAGAGTCAAGGCACTTGCCCCGGTAAAAATTTTGAATTTGTTTCTTTATTTATTTCAAGTTCCCGTAAGATAGATGCATTAAAATATTGTTTCTGTAAAACACTTAGTCTGGATACGGCCGTGGAAGGTTTACATTTGTTAGATTTGGTGGCTTACATTTGTATACATACAGACGCCTCCTAGCTGAACAAAGAGCTCGTCAGAATTCACTCAGCTTCCTTCAAAAAACATAACCAGCATAAAGTTGCTTTGATTAAATTTGAAGAACACAGATTTACTGCGAGGCGAGGAATTGCAGTTTTAATTTTGTACGCAAATGTCTCTAAATTTTCCCAGGAATTAAGGATTCGGTTTTACCGGCAAATGTATGGAAAAATGAAGACCTCGGCTTTTCTAGCGAGGTTACTTCCCTCAAATTTGATCAGTAGATTCTTTTACTTGATAGTTTTTAGATACCTTTAGTTTTTAGTTCGTAAATATTTCAGATTTCGAACTTTCCGTAAGTTGTTAGATATTAAATTCTCCACTTTTCCCATACATTTACTGTAATGTATTGCCGTGTTTGTCCCCAAAACAAGAGGTCGCCAGAAACCGTAAAAAGGACGTTCTAATGAGTTGTGTTCTGTTGCAAAACAACAGGGAGGTTAAGCAAGAACAAAGGCAACGTCGAAGACCATGCCAAGTCCGAAAAAGATTGTCATGTTTTGTACTTTCCAATATCGAATTTGCCTAGATCTGTCTACGTTATTAATTTTTGCGTTGCAAAAGTAATTTACACTGATGACAAATTATGTAGTACTTAATTTATTTCATTAGTAAACCATAATGTCAAGTGAAGTATACTTAGGCATCTTTCCTGGACTCTTTGCAGATTGGTTATCGGCTCGCGGCTGTGGAGACCATTTATCCCGACACAAGGACCAGCAGAAAGAAAGGCTATGGCGGTGAGTTGCCGGTTTTAATAACCGTACCTAATCTGAATCAGTTGAAATGTGAAAGGCCAGTACATCAGCATTTTTGTTACCTCGTAAGGTACTTCTGATGCCTCAGGGCACTTACATGAAGTTAGGGAACTTAAATCAGGCTCAACGCTACTTAGATCTTCTCCTTATAATACAGCATTAAGTGCCCATCATAAACAGGAGTTAAGCACAAAAAGGTCGGGAGACCGAACCGAGAACGGCAAAAGTACAGATGTCACGAACCGTAGGAGTCGTGTATGCAACACTCACCTAACGTCAAAGAGCATAAAGCAAAATGATACGCACTCAAAACATGTGCGTCTATATCAAAATAGCTCCACACTGCAGATTAGCCATCGAGTGCTTAGAAATCTAGAAAAAAATGCCGTCAAAGAAACACCAAATAGCGAGGTCGAGCTTCAAACAACTAAGGATCGAAAAGTGCATTACGCCATTGGCTAGCTCTTTCTTGACCAATAGGAGTCGTGTGTGGCCTGTCAACCATTTTTATCATCATTGCGATATTTTTGGACAGAGCCCCGTCCAAGGTCAAAGTGTTAATCTTCAGTTATAGCCAATAGAAACCAGACATTTTTGATCTGTTTCGAGGGTACACGCCACGAGCAGTTTGCGCAAAGCCGCAGAATGTCTTACATGCTAACATATGAACGAGCTGCGCTAGCAACTTCAGACGTACAGAGTACTTTAGAAACACCGGCAACTGATGAGATCTCCATATGGAGGATCGAAACCATGGTCTTGCCTGAACTAAGCCCAACAATGGCAAATACATCACGCAAAACAGTCAACTGACTTGCGCGTAAACAACTACATTTGAATCATGTGGTGTCAGAGCGACCAAAAGGAGGAAAAACCTATACATCGAGCTTGAAAAAACGCATAGCTTTCTCGAAGTAAAGCTACAGCGTCTCCGAAGAAAAACGTACGAGGACAAATAGATATCCCTGATAAGAATCTACCTACTGTACCTTGCAAACAGTTCTAATCACAGCCGGGCCCGGCGTCACAATATACAATGCAAGTAAGCAAAATGTTCACCGAAAATTTCGTATTTTTTCCCTCGAAAGCAAATACTTCGAGACTTAAAACAAATCTTGTAACATAAATGAGTCTCAACAAAGTACAAGTACATGGGAAATTGCGTACAGCGGGAGTCGTGAAGGCCTGTCACAACTTTTTCAATTTCTGTGATTGATATCAGACAGTACTCCCTCCTGCGCCCAACTAGTAATCTAACGAACAGCATGTAGAAGATCTACACAGGTGCTACAGCACAGTCTAACGGCTCAACGTTACTTGAAATTTCTTCTCATAATACAGCATTAAGTGGCCTTCATAAGCAGGAGTTAAGCACAAAAAGGTCGAGAGACCGAACAGAGAACGGCAAA